GTTCGACATTAAAACACCTGCAAAAATGGGTGAAAATCGGGGACTTTGCCCCCCCATAACTCGAAAACGGTGCGTATACTCAATCTGAAATTTTAGTATGTGTAAAGGGTCACCCTAAGGATGAAAAAAAACCTCACTTCGACCCCAATTTCGAGGGCCCAAAAATGGGCCGTTTTTGGCCCTTTTTGTGCATGGCTCTTTCAATTTTTTCCCCCTCAGCCGGATACAGTGCTCAGTAACAAGGTAGACATGTCAGAACAAATCCTGACTGCATTGAATTTATCTTTTAATGCCTTTGAATCAGTTACTAAATCCCTTCCAATTCCACTAGCCCCACCAACACCATTGAACCCCAACAACTATCAAAGATACGGTCACCCAGTCTACTCGGCTGTTTCCACCACACAAGAGCAGCATCTTTAAACATCAGGCGGAACTAAGTGGGATGACTCTGAATTTGAGCGCCTGAAAAGTCTGTAAGCTTTTCAACCTTTATACCACTTTCTGCTCATTTCAACGAGAGCACTTTACAAGTGAATTTTTTTTTCCAAGCTATACCACAGCGGTGAAATTGACATATTTAACACTATACTAAATGCAGCAAATTGGTCACTTTGGGAATAATTTTGAGGATAAAATCAAAACAGACCAAAGAGGTACTAATCCTCTCTTTGGTACAATAAATTAATCTGTAGTACTTACATACTGTTTGAATAAAAATGTTCTAAAAAAAATCCTGTAAATGTTACAGCATCTTTTGCTTTTAGTTCATAAATTACCAACAAGAGGAGGTAAAATCACCCCCAAAAGAACAATGTATTTTAAAAATTTCAAGGGCCATAATGATCAATTGGGAGACAACTTTTGCTCTCTAATTGGCAGAAAAGAGGGGTACGCAGCATTCTTGGTTCGAAAGGAAACAAATCATGTACGATCAGATTTTGGGTTTCTAACCCTGACCTGTATTTATAGATAGGAGGTAGTGAACCAAGTTTCGCAAAATGAGCCTAAATATGTGTCCTTTAGCCAAATCCATGGATACAATGTAACATACAAAAAAAAATTGCAGCTAAAAAAATAAACATAAAAAAAAAAAAATAAAAATCAGATGTAAATTGTCACCCCATTAGCAACCTTGGGATGAAAATATTCATAATATCTCAAAGAGAGGAGACAATGTTTTAAAGAAAGAAAATCATAGATCAGTTGAGGAGGAATCTTATATCCTAGAGGAATACTTTGCTGTTTCTGTGATTAAAACTCAAGAAATGTCAAGGAGTTAGTATAATGTCAATGTGACTCTGTTATTGTTAATCACATGTTATCATGCTAATGTTAATGTTAATCTCATGTTATCATGCTAATGTTAATCTCATGTAATTGTTATGAAACTTAATACTTGATTTTAACTGTAACCTTCAAGGTCCTACTTAAAACAAATAAGATAATAAATATACCTACCTGCTTTCTCATTAGCAGAAAATGCTCTGAATGATAAATAAAGTTACTATCTGGATCTTCAATCCAAATCCAAAATGGCTCTGAATACTTGCCATGTACTTTATCATTCCATCTGTTTGGAGGAAAAGTAATGTTAGTGGTATGAAAATGGAGTTGGGTGCGAATAATATGGCAATTACTGAAATTGGCACAGCAACTCTGACTAGGCGCTCGGTCTTCAGAATGAGCTTATTAACTTGTTTCTAATTCTTGCATTTTCAGATGTTTTTCCAGCCGTTTTACCCTCCGAAAACGACTTCAGAAGTTCGAAATTTTAAAAAACCGCGTTGGTCTGCGCTTTGGAGGCGATCCAATATGGCATCAAAATTACCCTCCACTTCTTGCCACACATTCGACCAAGCGCCATTAGTGGTACCTCTACTCGTTCAAATAACGAGGCTGATCAAAACCAAAGATCAAAACAAGCAACTGGCTGTTATCAATTTCACATTTTGACAAATATCTCACTCGTTTTTGACATAATTTCTGAAATGTTATTCATTCCTATAAAATATCTAACCTAGCTTTCCAAATACCTCGACCTGCAATCTCCTCAGAACGTTGGGAAATATCTTCCAAAAATGTGTTAGTTGGATGTGTGTGTGAGGGTGTGTGTGTGAGGGTGTATGTGTGTGTGTGGGATCAATGGTTATGGGGTCGTACACACGCTTCTGTCCCACACTGTGGGGACTCCCTATCCTTGTGGGGTCATTTTCCGTGGCCCCACAACCAAAATTGTGACAGAAAATGGCATTTATCGGCTAAAAAAAAAAGCCCGATAGGTCAGATTAGGTTAGGTTAGGTAAGGTTAGGTTACGTTAGGTTAGGTTAGGTTAAATTAGGTTAGAAGAAATTAAGCTGTTTCGGCCAAAATATCGTTAGGTTAGGTTAGGTTACGTTAGGTTAAGTTAGGTTAGGATAGTTTAGGTTAGGTTAGGTTAGTTTTACAACAATACACAAATCCAGTGGCCCCACAACTATTGTTGTACAAGACTGTGTGTGTGTGTGTGTGTGTGCCTATCACTTATCTAAAGGTGTTGGTTTTTCCATTGAAATCGCTGTGTTTTCGGTGTTAGGGTTAACATTGTACATGATTTTTACAAAGTTTGTCTTAATCAAGATATACACCTAGGTATTCTTCTAATGATACATTTTCTGTGGTCATACATAGATTCTTGCACTTGTAACCAATCGGTATTCTAACATTCTGAACATTGGATGGGCATTGCTACTAGAAGAACTTCTGATACAGAGCCGAATCTTACTTTAAGATTTTTCATCTCTTCTTGAGTGTTAAAGTCAGTAATCAGCATACTTCCTTATTTGCTTCTACTTATGTATCCACATATTCTTTTGGATGCTGTTGTGAATACTTCCTCAAGACCAACTCCCTTTGAAGTCTGATGGTGTAGTAAATTATGCTTCATTTTTCTGAGCATTTATTTACTAAAAAATCAGTTCAAGAGAATTTTCTTCGACATGGATCTACATTCTACCCGAGAACTTTGTGTGCCGGCGCCAACAGACCCTTCAGCAAAATCCATTAAATTCTAAAATTGAAAGGTACGTACCAATATTGTTCAAACTATCACAGAAGTAAATTTGCTCCTGCATGCACAAAACTTGTTTTGAATTCTTTGGAACATATGAGGTTTTCTCGTAAAAAATGTTTGTGGTGTGCAATGAATGTAATATCCAGTAATTGAAAATCACAAAAAATGTAGCAAGTGTCAATTCGAAGGCTCACTAATGTATTTTCTTATTACTGGACTGACATGGAAACCTGAGTTCTCCATTTCACAGCAGAAATGTCTATGTACTGATCAAAATTTAAGTAATAGAATATTTGTCTAGATTTTCCTTCAGTACACTCATAAAAACCATTGAAATCAATTGTGCAGGTGAACACGCCGGCCTCCAGCCTACAAATTCGTGTGATTGCAATATTTTGACGTGGAGGCCTCGAGTTGGCAGATTTTCTCACCTCATTTTACCATCATTATCTTTTTTTCGTTTCAGTCATTAAACTCAGTTGATTTTTCAAAGCAATATTCCACTGATAAAGAGCCTTATGTATTTCATCTCAATGAATAATTTGCAAGATAGAGGGAAGAACAATTATCTGCCATTAGAAACCATTCAATTGAAGTCAAGAAGGGAACTTACAAAGTAGAAAGCTACTCACCTTTCATCTTCAGGATTTTAAACAACACCCATTTATTCAGAGCCAGAGCATGCATCCTTACAAAATTTTTGTGACCTGTCGAGGAATATAACTTAGGCTGACTTTCTGGTAAAACGCTCAGCATACCAAGACATTGTTTACCAAAAAAAATCAGATTCACAGTGAATCAAAGTCTAGCGGAGGATGTCAACAATTACAAAGAAAATAAAAGGATGAGAAATGAAGTCTGATCACTGTTGTTGTAGCTCGCATTGAGACAAACTATCAAAGAATGGCACACTAGGGTGCGGCTTACTTCCATCATGTAGGAAAATCGACGAGGTCCGGGTGACAATCGGTGCTATCTACGAAAATAATAGGCTGTATAAAATTTGAGCCAATTTGAAGCTTTTTTAGATGATGCTGAAAGGGATCAAAACTACGGGCAAAATTACATTGGTTTGAATGGACAGAAAACGCCTGATCTGTGAAAATGCGTTTTTTGGATCTAAAATGCGCTTAAATGAAAAAAACCTGACCTGATCTTGGAGAGGCATTTGGAGGCCCATTTAAAACGAGAAAATCAAACTTTTGACCCATATGTGAAGATAGGGCGGATCACTTGAGAGCAAGATAAAATATATACACCAATTTCGTTCTAGGCTAGAGAAATAGTATGAGAGGGAATATTGTAAAGGGCCAAGTATATTTCTCAGGGGCTAAAGCAACTATTATGCATTGTTTCTCATTAAGTTGTGAGATACATTTGTCTTTTCAACTTCGGCACACTTGTTTTGAGTTTAATCAGAAAGTCTCAAAAGTGATCTTTTAGCTGCGGTTGCGGCGCCTCAAAACCGGCTACGCCATGACCCCCCTGTCCCTACTCATAGATCAAAAGTGTGATTTTCGCGTTTCGAATAGGCTCCTAGATGCCTCTCTAAGAGCTGATCAGCTTTTCTTCATTTAAGCGTATTTTAGATCCAAAAAACGCATTTTCGCAGATCAGGCGTTTTTCCGCCCATTCAAACCAATGTATTTGCCCGTAGTTCTGATCCCTTAGAGCATCATCTAAAAAAGCTTCAAATTGGCTCAAATATATTTTTATCGATAGAACAGATTGCTGCCCGGACCTCGTCGATTTTCCTACATGACAGAAATGAACCGCACCCTAATGGCACGCACTAGCTTCAGACTAGCAATTGAAAATATACCTGTTAATAATTATGGAACACTGAATAGTTCAATAAGTTTATGGTTGCAGAATAGAAAATCGTGGAAGAATAATTAAGCTTGGGTGGCTTCCTTAGAGTTAACTTAAGATACATGTAATATATTGAGGATATTTCTTTAAAGAGAGGCATTAAGGGAAGGAGATTCAATTTCTGATTCCATGTAGATCGCTGCAGAGGAGAAGTAAGAAGTTTTTCTCCGAAATAATTACATCCTGTAATAAATCACAAGGCTTCATGAATTTTCGGCATGGTAACAATGTCAGAATTTCATTGTGCATTCTGCGGTAATAAAAAGTTTGAAAGCTTTCCCCTAATGTCGTACTCATCCAGTAACGTAGGAACAAAAGGGTATTTTACAAATGAAATTAGCTTTCTGAGCAAACAAATTCTACAGTTTTAGGATTTGGGACAAGACAGATTCTTCAAGTGGCAGCTGTGCATTTCTCCTTTCACAAGATTGTTTCCAAAGGAAAATGGAGACTAATAAAAGAAAAAATATTCCAAGTTTAACCAAAAACTTTTGAAAAAACGGATGCACTCTACATTTTCAAGAGGAATTATTCACAAATTCACTTTTCTACTATGGAAACAGAGTATCTAAGTGTACTGAAATGCTTGAGTAAACTAGCACAAATTTTGGGCGATATGCCCAGACTTCCCAACGTTCCAAGGAGATTTCAGGTCGAGGTATTTGTGAGGCAGAGTTAGATATTTTAGGTGAACGAATAACATTTTAGAAAAAATGCCCAAAGCCATTTGCGTGTTTTTGATTAGTCTTGATATTCGAACGCAAGGAGGTGCTGCTGACGGCTGACGATCGAATGTGTGGCAATAAGTCGGGGGGTAATTTTGACGCCATATTGGATTGGCTCTAAAGCGCGGGCAAACGCTATGTTTAAAAAGTTCGAACTTCAGAAGTCGTTTTCAGAGGGAAAAACGGCTCGAAAAAATCTGAAAAATTACTGCGTGATCAGGAGACACTGTAGTTTCTGAAAATGCAAAAATTAGGAAGAAGTTAGCAAGCTCAATGAGCTTGTTAACTTCTGACGTTCCTGATAGAACAATAATTTCCCAATAATTTTTTTGCAACTCTGGTAGTATGAAAATGAGGATTTAAGGCCAAAAGTTTTTTGTCAGATTGTGTCAAAATATACGAATTAAATTGAGGTTTGATGGGTGAGCAGTGTTGTAAAATTGTGCAATATGATATTAATAAAGGGGTTTGTGGTATGGTAAAGTTGTGCAGTAGTCATGGAGAAATACGGTTTGACCCGGAACAAATTGCATAACAATTTATTCCTGTGTAGACGTCACCAGTAGGTCCTCCTGAACAACATATAAAAAGTTTACCACGGTCCGACCCCGGAACACCCCCCAAAATTACGAAAATTCAAAATGGCGGCCATAATAAGGGCCTATGGGATTTCGGTATTTTAAAATGTTCCTATAGTGTCATGTGAGGTATCATTTCCTATGTAATTTTGGTCGCAAATTTCATTTCTGAAGTCCAAAAAGCCCCTAGGTCAAAGGGGGTGACCCAAATCCAAGATGGCGGCCAAATTTGAAATCCAAGAGGGTCATTTTTCAACTTTTACGTGATTGGGCAAGTGAGGTGTCGTTTCCTGTGTAATTTTGGTCGTGCATTTCATTAATGATGTCAAAACATCTCCCCTGTCAAAGGGGGTGCTCTAAACCCAAGATGGCGTCTAAATTTGAAAGGCAGGAGGGTGAATTTCTTCGATTTTTGCGTAAAAAATGAGAGTGAGGTGTATCAATTCTTATGAAATTTTGGTTGTAAGTTTCATGTCTCAAGTCAAAACAGTCCCCCTGCTTATAGGGAGTGCCCGAAATTCAAGATGGTGGCTAAATTTGAAAGGCGGAAGGGTGCATTTTTGAAAAAAAATTCACCAAACAAGGCAAGGAAGGTGACTATTCCGTGTATTTCTAGTCGACAAGTCTAAATTAAACGTAAAAGATGAATTTTACTCAGAAATGAGACGTGTCATGCAAACGGTATGAAAATAATTTAATAGGAGCACCCAATGAGTTATTTTTGCTCATTTTTAAGGGCATCGATTCTCAATCAAGATGAGGACATCGAACGGGACGGATTCACCGAAGAAGGCAAGGAAGGTGACTGTTTCGTGCATTTTGGTCGATGAACCTAAATTAGGTGTTTACATTTTATTTAATAAAACAAAGAGAAAAATAGTACTTCCGAAAGAAATGTTAGCTCAAAAACGCGCATTCACTCTATAAATGTAACAAAAGACAAAACATACTCGTTTCCAATTATATTACGTCTTCAGCATTCCTTGACAATCTCTGCAAGAGGATTTATACGGTTTTTTTTTCGCCAATTTCCTATTACTGGATATAGCATGGACTCAATCAAAAGCGACTAATCTTTGTTCGGCACACTCTTCTAATCTATGGAGTAAGGTGGTGCATGCGAAAGAATGCAGATCTTGATATCATTGAATAGGGTGTTGCAGCTTGCTAGAGCTCCAACATAATTGTGACAGGAGAGGATCCGAACCTATTTGTTTTTTGGTTAAATCGATCAGAAAGGCGTCAATTTTTCTTTGCTATTTAGAAGTGATATTGAACGCTTGATCCAAAACTATTGCTTACCACATCTCTTACATCCGTCACAAATTTTGTCAACGTTTATGTAAGCAACTCCTGTTCTTAAATGAGTTTACTGGTTGCGACTTGACCTCTCACATGCACGGAATCGGAAAATCAACTGGAAAGCTGAAAAAAATGTAACAATACCTCTTTTTGGTGCCAAAAAAATGAGACTTTCAAAGACGTATGACATCAGTCTTCAAGGAAAAATTTAGCTGCTTAAAAAATCTTCGTCGCAAGAAGAGAAATTAATTCCGACATTATCAGCCATGCCACCAATTTAGGATCTACTTTCGAAACAAATTGATGACGGATAAGCCGATCTAGATGCTTGTCAATGAGGATGAATGAATGAAAACAACGATCTTCATTCCATTTTCTACTGACTTGCCTTCTGCTCCGGAATCGCTGCTCAATTAATATCTTCGGGTGTAATTTTAAGAAAGGGTTTGACACCATGCGGTGTACTTATAATATCATGCCCGGACCTTCGCAAGAGCAGAAGTTGTGAAGACTCGGACTCCAACTGTAAAAACTCGGAGAAACCCGAGGTGGACGGTCCTGACAAACCTGACACAGAATTTGAATCAGCACGCTCTTTCAGATTTTCTCCTATATTGACTAAAGTAGATCCGTCACGTTCAATGTCCTCATCTTGATTGAGAATCGATGCCCTTAAAAATGAGCAAAAATAACTCATTGGGTGCTCCTATTAAATTATTTTCATACCGTTTGCATGACACGTCTCATTTCTGAGTAAAATTCATCTTTTACGTTTAATTTAGACTTGTCGACTAGAAATACACGGAATAGTCACCTTCCTTGCCTTGTTTGGTGAATTTTTTTTCAAAAATGCACCCTTCCGCCTTTCAAATTTAGCCACCATCTTGAATTTCGGGCACTCCCTATAAGCAGGGGGACTGTTTTGACTTGAGACATGAAACTTACAACCAAAATTTCATAAGAATTGATACACCTCACTCTCATTTTTTACGCAAAAATCGAAGAAATTCACCCTCCTGCCTTTCAAATTTAGACGCCATCTTGGGTTTAGAGCACCCCCTTTGACAGGGGAGATGTTTTGACATCATTAATGAAATGCACGACCAAAATTACACAGGAAACGACACCTCACTTGCCCAATCACGTAAAAGTTGAAAAATGACCCTCTTGGATTTCAAATTTGGCCGCCATCTTGGATTTGGGTCACCCCCTTTGACCTAGGGGCTTTTTGGACTTCAGAAATGAAATTTGCGACCAAAATTACATAGGAAATGATACCTCACATGACACTATAGGAACATTTTAAAATACCGAAATCCCATAGGCCCTTATTATGGCCGCCATTTTGAATTTTCGTAATTTTGGGGGGTGTTCCGGGGTCGGACCGTGGTAAACTTTTTATATGTTGTTCAGGAGGACCTACTGATGACGTTTACACAGGAAAAAATTGTTATGCAATTTGTTCTGGGTTAAGCCCTTTTTTTCCGTATTTCTCTCTGACTACAGTAAAATATGAATTGTGAGAGGGGGCTATGTTGTGAAAGTGTGCAGATAATCTGAGTGTTACAGGTTGTCCCTTCAATCTACCGGTTATGCAATAGTCGTACGTTTTGCCCCTTCAATTTATACGATTATAAGCCACACCCAATAAGGGAAGCTTATACATATATGTAGTACCACTGAAAAACCAAAATCCAAAAATTCACTTTGAGCAGAGGAATGCAATATAGTTAATGACACTTACACCACATTATACTTACCATAGGGACTGGCTTTGGTGCTTTTTTCAGGAATTTTCGTGCACTGACAGTTAAGATATTATGCCTTACACATTGCCCCAGCTGAAGAATGTATCAAATTTGACGTTTTACCGTGGGCAGAGAAATGCAGGGGAAGTGACCTATTTTCTGGCGTTTGAATAACCTATTATGAGACAACTCCCACAGAAATTTTCAGATCCTCAGCATATATCAGTTATGAGATAAGCGAGGTTTAAATCAGTGATTTTCACCTATAACAGCAGCGATTTCAGACTCGATAACCTAATATAAAATAACGAATAGGACATTCGTGTTTCAATATTTAAATAGCTTGTAATGATACTTTTTTCCCCGTTTTTACCGGACCTAAATCCGACTTACCATTCTAGAGTAATTCAAAAAACCACCATACCATTTTTCATAAATATAGCCGTTTTGGCTAAGCGCTGCGGGCGTGCAAGAAATTTGAAAAATCTATAACGGCCGTAATTGTACTTACTTGGTATGCAATAATATGTGAAAAAAGTATGAAAGGTTTTCGAGTCCTCAACCACCTCTGAACGATTTCTCATGGAGTGACCCAATTTTTACCATTCTTATGACACTGCCCACTCCGCAAACCCCAGTTTAATTGGTACTTTTCTGGATAGTTCGGATAAACACTTTTGGCCTTAAAACCTAATTTTTGAACTGCTCAGAACGAGAAAAAAAATCAGTAAATCTAGTCAAAATGTCAGAGCAACAGTTATTTCTAAAATTATTAGCTGAAAAACGTTAAAAATTTGAAGGGCCTGGGAAAATAACTTGCCTACTAAGGTTTAATGAGTACTGACTGTTCAGCTTATCAAGAAAATTTCATTTCCTTTTCATTAAGCATTTAAAAGTTCAAGTTCTGTTCAACATTTGCAAATCAGAGGGGCTAGAAACATGAAGTACTGCCAACTCGCTCTCATAGAAATGACACCACGCTACTGAATAATCCAGCTTTCATTGAGATAAAAAAGAAAAGGAATCATGCATGAGATTAGACCGATTTCTTAGAAGTAATATTGATTGTAATATCAACCCAATTACTTTGGGTTGAAAATGGCAAAGACCAAAAAAACCACTATTTTTTGGCGACAGATATAGCTGAGTTTTTCATAAACAAATAATAATTCGGAGAAAAATGTAACGACAACAGCATAAAATTGTATACAAATCTTCAACTGAATTTAATGATCCGCAAGATAAGCAGTGACTAATCAACTTACGTAAAATTTGGAATAACTGAGAGACGGACTCTGAGGACATTTCGAGTTATTGGCTGAAGTGAATATTCCATTTCTACCATTGGCAATTCCATTGCACATTTTTTGATGAGAGCACCCTTATTATTGTGATGAACCATAATTCCTGGAAATTAATAAAGACCTACCGATGATTTCTCTGATTTGTATATCATGATATGGGACCGTTAAAATATTACAATGGGCAATATGGCCAACTCTTGGACCCCCACATCTCCCTTGACGTGCATCTGCAACACAACCTCTAACCTCTGTTTTAAATTACCTTTGACTAGTCTGATATCCCTCAATTTTTCAGAAAATAACTGAACAATCCTGAAAAGTAGCCGGAAAAATTATTTTCATTCTGTAGGACTGATCTTGACTCCTCCTCCCCTTGGTAAGGCGAACTCAGACTATGCACCCTTTAGTGCCCTGATTGAACGACCCCTGAAAGATTATTTATGCTACCTAATGTTTCAAAATTATAAATGATCAAATTTTTAGGCAAAAAAAATTGATAAAGGTAATTAGATTCATTATCTGATGAATAAATTGAACTGTTGGAAAAAAAAGCTGTATTTTCTATCCTTATTTTCCAATGATGTGGGTGTTTCCTTTTCTGCTTCGTAATTTTACAAGTTGTTTCAATCTATCTCATTTCAAAAGACTTTAATTGACTCTTGTATTGCATCTCCTTCTTTCTATGTACTTAGATTTGTCCCAAAACATCTGTTACCAGAACGCTACACATGCTTTCAGCATTTCAACTGAAGAATTGTGAAAATTCTTCAGAATTTATTATTGTGAATAGCAAAGCTACCACTTAATCTGCCTACCTATTTCTCTGGCATCCATTTCTCTAAGTCTTAGAACACTTAAATCTTTATCTTGCAGTTTTGAAAGTAACTCTGGGGTCAATACAGAGAACTGTTTCAAAGGGGTCTCAAAATTCCACATTTGGTGCTCCAACATTAAACTGAGTTCAAGAAAACGGCCTGCCATGATTGCATTATTCTTTTTCAGCTGCATTTCAAATAAGGCTCGCGAAATTCGAACTGCGTTCTGTAAACATATTAGCAGTCATGGTCATAACATCAATAAAACTATGAAACAATAATTCAAAAGATAAAAAAAATTAAACCAGGTTAAAACAAGGGGACTTTTTTTTAAGGAATTGTCCATTTCCACATAATATCTTTCCAGAGATATTGAACTCCTCCTAGATACACTAGGGTGCGTCAAAAAAAATGAAAGTTTGAAATGTTCCGCTCCCCAGACTGTAATCTATGCCACTTGGTAAAACAAAATCGTTGGCCAAAATGGAGAACTCAAGTTGTAGAGGGTAAAATTTCACTCCTGAAAAACATCTTTGTGAACAATAAAAACTCACCTCCGTATTTATTTTTTTGGTCGTCAGAATTTCTGAGGTCTTATGAAGTACCAGAGTAAAAGACTCATTTTTAACGAAAATAAGTAAAAAAATGAACTAAAATATATGTGGTATAAATGAACTGTAGACGAGTGCTGAGGATACAAAGGAGGGGTATCGATAAGGGCCTTTTTTGGCCCTCTCCTAGAATATGGAAATTTATGCGGGTTATCCGAGATGACTCAATGTAGTTTACGGAAATAATCGGAATAATAAACGGAATAATAAATAATAATGATTTAGGCTATAGGCCACTGGATACGTGTTAAACGGTTGCTTATACATAGGTCTACGGGCGTATTTTAGCGAAAATTCGTGTTTTTCTATCACTCCAAGGCTTTTTGACACCGAGCGCATCGTCTAACTAAAAGGAGCTTTTAATATGTTATCAAGGAGGCATTAGGGCACATTTCAACCCTGGTTTGGTTTTAGTTACATGATGCGCTCATAGTTAAAAAAAACTTTTTACAAAAATCGACGTTTAAGGGACATCCGCAAAAAATCTTACGGAAACACGTTTTTCAAACTGTATGAACGATACTCATATAATTGAGGGCAGGTATCAAGCCTTGTTAGACTCTTACAAGGAGTTTTTACTCAATTGTGTCCAAAAAAAATTTGATTTTCCTTACAAACAGCTGTGAAGATAACGGATTTTGGAGTAGTGGAGGCATACTTTCACTAACGCATAACATCAACTTAAATCTGGAAATGTATGCGGGTTTTCCAAGTTGACTAAATGTAGTTTACAGAAACAATCATGATTTAGCCCATAGGCCACTGGATACGTGTCAAACGGTTGCCTAAACATAGGTTTGCACGCGTATTTTAGCCAAAATTTGTGTTTTTCTATGACTCCGAGGCTTTTTTGACACCAAGCGCATTGTCTAACTAAAACAAGCTTAAGATATGTTATCAAGGAGGCTTTCGGACACATTTTAACCCTGGTTTGGTTTGAGTTAGACGATGCGCTCATAGTTAAAAAAAACCTTTTTTCCAAAAATCGACGTTTAAGGGACATCCGCAAAAATCATAGGGAAGACGTTTCTCCAACTGTATGCACGCTGCGTATATTATCGAGGGCAGTTATCAAGCCTTGTTAAACCCTTACAAGGAGATTTTCTTTAATTGTAGCCAAAATTAACCCTAACGACGTAATTCCATACAGTTCGAGAGTCGTGTTTCCCTAAGATTTTCGCGGATGTCCCTTAGACATCGATTTTTCTAAAAAGTTTTCTTTTAACTATGAGAGCATCATCTAACTAAAACAAAATCAGGGTTGAAATGTGTCCTAAAGCCTCCTTGATAACATATCAAAAGCTCGTTTTAGTTAGACGTTTCGCTCGGTGTTAAAAAAGCCTCGGAGTGAGAGAAAAACACAAATTTTCGCTAAAATACGCCTGCAGACCTATGTTTAGGCAACCGTTTAACACGTATCCATTGGCCTTTGGGCTAAATCATGATTATATAAGTAAACTTCATTGAGTCAACTTGGAGAAACCGCATAAATTTCCAGATTCTAGGAGGGGGCCAAGAAAGGCCCTCAATACCCTTATCAATACCTCTCCTTTCATCAAAACTTCCTCACTTTAAGAAAAAAATTGGCCTCCGGCCAATTTATGAGCGGCGCAAGCGCCGGCACATGGGGAGGCGAAGCCCCTCCCCCCCCCATCATAGTGTGAGGATTGCACAAAAATGTCTAGCTTTTGCCGGTGCAAAGCGCCGGCATAGGCACTTTTACTGTGTTATTTAGAAAAATACTGCCAGTTTCACAAAATTTGCCTGAAATTCGGTATCTGAGGGTATTTTAACCCAAGGAAAACGAAATAAACGTTGAATGTAAAAAAAACCGAATTTTCCAAAATGGCCGCCGCTTAAAATTCATCAAGAACGGAAATCAGAGATTTCAAAAATTTAAATTCAAATTCGTTTTTCGCGTGCCATGATACCCCGATAAACCAAGTTTTAGACAAATCCATCAGCAAAAAATCAAAGTGCCAATTATTGGCCACTTTGAACCTAAACCGGCCGCAATTTTCAAACTTTTTCTTTTATTTAAAAAAGAACCTAACGTTGGATTCGTTTCTCTAGTGTCAAAGTACCCTGCGTTACCAATTTTTGTTCAAAACCATCAACAAAATACTGGTGCCAATTGAGGTGTTGGGTACGAAAGGAATGCCATTTTTTCGTTAAACATCTCCATGTATCCCACCCTCAACTATCATTCTACCAAATATGAATTCAATCGGATAATAACTGAGCACGAGATGAAATATTTTGTTAAAATGAAACACGACGTATTGAGTGAGTAAGCACTTCAACGTATCGGCACGCAGCTTGAATCGGCCAGCACGCCACTGTCCGTCCGACTGATGGCAACAGCAACGACCGCCAACAGCCAGCCAACAATACTGATAAGAACAAAGGCTCATTACCTATCCCAGTTGCACATTTTTTGAGGAAAAATTCTACTTAGCAGCTTTCGTTTACAGACAATCGAGAGACAGTTTGTCCGGACATTCAGGATATCGCGACTGCGCAGAAGGGACTGAAAATAGTGTTTTTTTGTATTTTTCTCAATACGAACGATTACAATATGAAAGAGGTGCAAGGTGGCAAAAGGTATGAGAGATGAACGTTGTGATTAGGAAGAAGAGGCTGGGTAGAATGGTGGAAAAAAAGAAGAGGAAAATAAAAAGAAGGAAAAGAGGAGGTTGGAGAGGAAGGAAAGAGAGGTCAAAAAAGAGAAGATCTTATTTTGAATGTAAGAATACAAGTTTTCTGTTAAGGTTTAAAATATGTACTTTCTAATTTAACTCTAAAAAAAACTGCTCCTCTTCAATTCTTCTGAGGCAAGAACAACATCAGAAAACCAAGAGGTGTAGAATGTTTTACAGTAGCATGCATAAGACTAGAGTTCGGCCGAAATGGATTTTCCGCGTCACCGGACACGGATATCGATTTTTTGTACCCGGCCGGATAACGGATAATTCGCCTGGGTATCCAGCCGGAACCGGATAATACTGGATCTAGATAGTGCTTTATCGCGTGAGAAAAATCTCCCGATTTCGCGCTTGGGACAAGAGGCACACTGTGTATCACACCATCAAGACCGTCATCGACGATGCATGTACCTTTGCACCGGCAACCTCCATATTTTTCAATGATACGCTATGAGTCGGCCCGCTAAAACGAATACTAAAAAAAAAGACTTGGCAGATAAGCAGCATTGCTTTCATTGGCTTCATGGTGTGATGGGCCAGATGAATACTAGGGGGCTACGCCCCCTGGCCGCTACGCGGCCCAACCCCCTGAAGGCGCTCCGCGCCATCAATGGGCCACTTCGCGGCCCTATTTTTACCCTCTTACCCCTTATCAATGTTGATTTTATTTTTCCCCTAACAAATTACGATATGAGGTATACTTTACTTTCAGAATGAAATAATTTTTGGTTTTGATGAATAAAGAATTTTTTTTTTTTTTTTGAAGTCAAAAGGACGCGTTTTGGAATGAGTGCTTGATGAAATATTGCAGTAAAACAACGAACAATGATAATCAGGTAATAATTAAAATAGTCAGGAGTCGGGGATCGAACCCACACCTTGATTCGTGTGGACGCATCCGACGTCTTAGACGACTCGGCCACCGCTCATATGAAGATGCTAGGCGTGAATTTTGTGTAGATAAGTATAGAGCTGATGCGCAGGCTACCCAGCTACTGCGCAACCTTCTCGACCACTGCGCATCCTCCCGCGCATAGTGGTAGCAGTCCCGGAGCATTCCGTAAATTCACTCAATTTTATAACGTGATTTTAAAAAAACCGGGGTCCTACTTCCAAAATCTGATTAGAGCGGGCTCATCTAGGGCCTATTACCTGTCGATTTACGCAAAAATCATAGAAATCGGCCCGGTAGAACGCTCAAACGAACTATGACAAAAAGTATAAATTTACATTGTTTAAATGGGAGAATTCGCAACTTTACCACTTAATATACAAAAACCTGGGCCATATTTTGAAAATCTGAAAAGAGTTGGCTTATCTAGAGACAATTGCCCGTCGATAGCCGCAAAAATCATTAAAATCGGCCCGGTAGAACGCTGGAACTAAGCGTCACCGGTTACGCAAAATTAGGAGGTCTTGGAGCTTATATATATGATGATGTATGAATGTCCAAACGCTGCCAAACTCTATCTGATGAGAGATATATTTTGAGGAAGTGTACGAGTGGTTTTAAATAACAGCAGTCTCTTGTCTGAAATCATTAAAATTCTGATAATTTAAATATCATTCTCATTATTAATCAGGTCAGATGGAGAAATCCTGGTTGTTGTGACAAATATACTCTACATTCAGTAATATTTTAAAAGAATTATTTTATCACTATTACAGTAATATTTTAAAAAAATTATTTTATCACTGTTACATCATTATTTTTTTTCATTTTAGAATGAGTATTTGGACTTTTCTTAGTGTATTTAGATAGTTAATGTTGTTAATTATGATAAAATGTGTGTATTCTGTCTCTTGACTTGCTCCGATACTTCAAATCAGATTGCACTAGTATAATTTCGAGCAGCTCTAAAGAAACATATTTGCAAGTTTTTTTTCTCCTGCGGAAGTGATTTTCATT